GATCCATTTATTCAGCTACCAAACTGCAGCCACCTCTGGTGTGCAGTGCAGTAACTCACTGCAGTGCTGTGTATCATAGTTTGGGCAAGGAACTGAGAATGAATGCTTTTGACATGAGCCTGTTCTCACTTAAAGCCCGCCCCTATTCTAGAAGTTAATCATAAGTTGTAGAAGTTAGATATAAAGACCTGAATTGGCTGTTGTATTAAGGCATTGAGATATCAGTGTAAATTTGGACCCCAGAGCCGATTATGTTGGACAGGTAAACGAAGACTTTCCACAAAGTTGCTGAATCCACATAGAACTGATCAGACATCAGAAAATCATCAGCCTGGAGAAAACATGTTCATGGCCATCTCTGAGAAGACTAATTACATACATATAAAGCTCAAGCAATCAGATCTGCAAATGACTTAAAAATATTTCCATAAAGGTATATGTATATTATGCATATATATCATACATACATATGTATGTAGATATATATCCATACATGTACAAATTACACACATACGTATGCATCTTGTAATGTTAAACGTTCTGTGTTAGATTAATTAACATAGATAAAAGAATACGTGTGTGCACACACATTTTTACATATGTATACATGTGTATATGTATATGTAAAGGTAAGTATCAAGTTGCGATCAAGTTAAGTATAGAAGCGTTCATGCTAAATTTTAGAGATGGCCAAAACTGCCAATAAGGTTTTGAGAGAAATTTATTCTTTTTAGATGTTCTTTTGCCTACATTTCTGAGGAAAATAATATATTTCAATAAAAAAACCAAACCCCTTGTTTCAGTTTCCTTGTTTCCTTCCCTCTCCCGTTTTCCATTTTGCTTATTTGCCCACGACAACATGAGAGTGGGAATAGAAAGAGAAGCAACAACAAATGTTTAAATGATTTGGGGGAGGCTTTTTCAGCTTTTAATTCAAAAAGTGAAAAAATGTCAAGGGCATATATGTATATGAAAATGTGCCTTTTAAGAGAAAAAAGGACATTTTGAGATGAAAAGCATTTGTCACGGACAATTGGACAACCTCTATGAAGTTCTGGAATTGTGAGCATGCCCAATGTGAATGCCCAGACCATATCCTATATATTATATGGTATTACATAGACACATCTATACAGTGATCCATGGTTCTTTCCCTACAAGCTCCTGATCATAACATTGGCCGGCTACTTCCCTGTCATTGCAGTAGCACTGCATTGATAGTAACCTAATCTCCTCTGCTTTTTTTACCTATGGCATGTAGAGCAGAGGTTCACAAACTTTTTCTTATTGCGTCCCCTCTTCCAGATTTACCAGCTGTCTGCATATCCCTACCAGCATACGTTTTACATTTTAACACCTTAAATTCCCATTATTCTCATAATGAAAATCAAATCTGCCATAATACATAATACAAACATAATTTCTCTCGCGTGCCCCCTAGAGATGTCTTGCATACTCCCAGGGGAACCCCTGTTATAGAGTGTTCTTGGTGTTTTGGCAATTGGCCCTTATAGTTGTAGATAAGGGTCTGAAATGGTGATTTTGATGATTCCTTTAGTTAATAATTGCCTGGAACCCAGAGGGTTCGACACAATGGCCTAGGAGGCCCCTTCTAGTTTAATTTCCCTATGTACATCTCTCTGCTTAGATGGGTCCTGCCTGTATCCTGACAACATACCTCCATCCATACAGTCTAGATCTAGGTCATGTACATCAGGCAGTGTACCCATGTATATCGGGTACACACCATGTGCACACAATCTATGTACACCCAGAGGGAGGGACCTGGGCATATTGAGATGCCTGAGTCAACTCAGACTGAGCTGAGCGCTCACCCAATTAATGAAGAAATTCTGTGCCTCCTCTCCTGACAAACCTGACTCCCAAGTACTTATTCAACATTACAGATGAGGGAATGAGGCTGACGTGAGGCAGAAGATAACTAGCATTTCAAGTACTCAGGGCAGGTAAACACCTGCTTGCCATGCAGACCTCTGTGCTCCTTTCGAGTGATAATCAGCCCACACAGAATTACCTTGCCCAGAGGCACCCAAGCCAGCGAATGCCTTCCCATCCCGGAGAACTGCAGATACAGGTCACAAGGTCACTGCAGCTGAGCTGAGGAGGAACAAAGTCCAATCAGAACAGACTCACTCCACTTTAAACTCTTAGCTGGGTGTTTTGTATTCCAGGCTGGGCCCTGGAGCACACCTTCTGCGACAGGAGGTAATAAAACCTGTTTATTCTGGATGCTGGCAGAGTGGGGGGCTCGTTTTTAACGTACAGAATTAAAGGGCTTGCAGCCAGAGCTGCACAACAGGTTCCACGCATCAGCTAACACCCCACGCACAAACCAAAAGCTGCCTTTTAAGTGCACAAAAATTTCCCCCTGGCATTCAAGCAAAATTGCACCGGTGCAAGTGAGCCTTGAGAGCGCTGTTTCCATTTGGGGTTTGGGCAACAGCTGGTTCCCTTTCACACTTTGTACCCACTTGGCGTGGAAGCCAATGGCTGCACAGGTCCAGAACAGTGATGAATTTGTGTTTGTCTTTATGCCATCTCAGGGCAATCTGGGCCTGCTGAGAACTGGTGTCCATGAAGCCACAAAAACCAGCAAAGAGAAATCCAGCCTCAGTGCTTGCTTCTGCCTGATATGAACAAGACTCCAGGCTCATCCTGGCCTATTCTTCATTCTACCCAGTCATTTTAACTTGGTGCCTATTTCCATTTCATGTGGGTGTTAGCATGGAGAGAGTTACGCCATGGGTGCGAATGCACCCCGTGCTGTAATTTGGAGAGGATGGAAGGTCCAAGGCAAGTGATCTTGCCTACGGGAAGGGGGCTGGTAGCACAGCAAGGACCCACTTAGCAGATGTACATCATGATGCTAGCACCCACCTTGCCTATATGCCAATTGATGCCAGTAAGAAAGGTACCCATTAGCTAGTTACATTCAGAGCACTAGAGGTGCTCATCTGCTGGTTAAATTTTTCCCCTCCCTGTAAGTCACCCCCATTCTGGGTCTCAAAGCAACACGATGGCCAAGACCCCGCATGCAAATGTCCGCCTCTCCTCCTGCTTTGCTTTTGCACGGCCCGAGCATTGTTTCCTCAGTCTGTGCTGAGAGCGGCATACGGCTGCCACAATTAAGGCTATCTAGGTTTCTGTTTAGCTGCGGGACAACATTGCTGAACACAGGACTTTGATCTTATTTCCTAAGAGTTTTTTTTTTTCCCTTTTCATGTGTGTTTTTGCCCATTTTTTGTCTCATTACTCAGGTGAATGCTGATGTTCCCGAAGGCGCCCAGAGCCAGGCCCATCGCTCCGGTCCAATCCAGGATGCTGAGGTCCCAGTTACCTCCCCCCGTTTACTTACCCCCGCGACAACCTCAGCCACCGTAACCTGGAGGCATGGGATGAGATATAATTTGGTCTGCGAGCAAGTTTGTTTGTGGGCCTTTCCTGAGCAAAGGCTGCCAATTATATTCAATGTGCTGAACTCTGTCAGATTAGGTGCTTGTCATGGAAAAGAGGAGGGTGCTTTTTTTCCCCCTTTTCTATTTTAATAGCATTTCAGAGGGACCCTACAGACGCATTTTGGGGGATGGTGGTGAATGCTGCTTGCAGGCATCCTTCATGTTTCTCTCCTTTCCCATGCAACCTCCCCCAGACCCTCATCCCCTCACAGATCTCATGCATGACATGCATGCAGCTATTCTGAACGCGTGACTGATACATGTGCACACCATTGTTCTTTATGGAACACAGTCAGTGCCACTCGACTCCTTGTCCTAAACCAGTCATTCCCAGCCAGGTTCCTGTGGCACCCTGGTGTTCAGTGAGAGCCTTTTCAATGTGCTGCGGGGCGCTGCGCAATATAGGCACTGTTAGGTGTGCAAATACCAACACATGATTCACAAGATAAACCCAGAGATTTCAAATAGGACTCCACTGTGTGAAAAGCATCCCGACTTTTTGTGGCCTTTCCGAGTTCCCTGCAACAGAAAAGGGGCCCTATTATTTTTCTGTCATCAAAAAACAAGTGAAAATAGTTTTTGAAATGGGGTGCCACTAAATTCTGAAGAGCTATAGAGAGGGGCCTCGAGTCTGAAAAGGTTGAGAACCGTTGTCCTAAACCCTCCATTGCTTGCAGAGGTTCTGCTTCAGCTCAAGCAATAGCAGGTTGGACTTGGGAGGAGGGAAGACCTCAGCTCTTTCCACGGTGTCACTACAAACTTCATTGTGGCCAGAGTATACAGCACGGCGACAGTTAAGATTGGAGTTTTACAGTACAGCTGCAGATTAAATGCATCATCTTTCCCTTTGATATAAGGTGTGACCTGTGCCCAGATATATCTGAACTAGACCCTGCTTTCTAAATGATCAGGGTTTGATGTTCATGCCAAATATAGGAAAAAAGGCCACCAAACTGGCCTATCCATTCCTTCCAGGTACAGTGCACACACCAACTGCAGATGCTTCCTCAGCCTGACGAAGGGTATTTATACCTGAAAGCTTGCGAAGAAGACTCTTTCCCACTATTTGAGCTGGTCTAATGAAAGATATCAGATTTATCTTGTCTGCCTGTGCCTTAGACCAACACGGCTACAACTGACACCTCCAAATTGACTTCACTTTTACAGCGCACGTATCCTCAGGTGGCAGTTTCCTTGGCCTTGTTGTCGTAATTAGAGATGTGTTTCAGCTGTTGAAGGGAGACAGCTTTTGCTGGATGTTGGGGAGTGCATTGCTGGAAACTGTATGAATTTCGGGGAGGCACAGAACAAATGCTGTGCTTGGAAAGGAGTCAATGCAAGGCATCAGGATGTGACTGAGGGAGGAATCCAGGCCTAGGTGAGAGGCAGGAGGGTCTAGGCTTGAGGTCATTGAAATCAGCAGCCTAGAAGAGTTAGGGGATGGGTGGACAAACTGTTCACCACAAAGTAGTAGCTGAAGCTAAACTGTGGTCACGTCCTCCTCTTCCAGTGGGGACCAAGCTACTGCAGTTTAGCTTTTCTTCCTTTGTAGGGTAAAGGCAGGCACACAGGCAGTTACCAGAGAGCAGGTGATGCGTGTGGCCTTGGGTGGGTGGCTTCATCTCTGGTTGCCTTTATTTATATCCCTGTAGAAAGGCAGCTAATAACACCTATGTAAATGAGGGGGCATTGGAAGAGACAGAGAAATAAAGATTTATTTAGCCACTTTGTCCTTCATAGCACCTGCAAGCCTCACAATCCCATAACATATATGATAAATTCTCAGGACTACTCTTCTACCCATCATGGGCGTTATTATTGGCCCATTTTTCACAACTTATCTGTGAGGCAGGGCAGAGCTCTTATCCCCATTTTACAGATGGAGAGCTGAGGCACAGAGAGGTAAAGGAATGGATGGTGAGATGGGGACATGACCTCCCTGATCTCCCAAGACCTATGCTGCTGTCCTACTTGCTGGACCATCCTTCATCTCTTCTTCCAAAACAGTGTCCATCAGCAATGGGAAATGGCAACTTTTTGAATGCAAAGAACAATTAGGATTTTCCCAATTGTTAGCGCGTTCCATTTTTAAAGACTCCCTGAGCTAAGTTAACCACATTCATTAAATATCGGAAATTGCCTAAGAGCTTTGAAGGTTTCAAGTCCTCCCCCTCTGCATTCAAGTTGTGACATTTTCTTGTGTCTCAGTACAGTTCCTAGTGAAATTACACGCGTGGGGTTAACCTCCCTGGGAAGTCATGTCTTGTAGACTCAAGAATGTGAACCTCTGATGCCTGAGCAGAAAAAGCTGTGTCTGTTAGTACAAAGTCAGTAGCCAACAAATACACTTTTGTGCAGGCCAGCTCTTGAGAGCCGCCACTATACAATCCTGGGTTACTCTCTTGACCAACTTCATTGTTATCAGACGGATTATTTGTATGACTAGCATCATGGGACCCTCGCCGTAGACCTGTGCCCCATGGTGCTAGGCCCTGCACAAACTTTACAAAGGTTAGCAGCCTTCAGTTGGAGGATGACTACTCACAGCCAATGAGATAAGTGTTTCTGACATACTTAAGCCAAAGGAGGACAATGCGCAATTTTGGCATGTGAACGGTACTTGGCATTGAGCCAGGAAATCAAAGCCCCCTGCCCCAAATTCTTCTCTCTTTAAATATTAGAATTCCCTCCTTAAACAGGCCAGGCATTCATGCAGCCATAATCTCTAAGAAGACCAAGCTCTGATTAAAACTCTAGTGTCGAGTGAGGCGTAATCCTTGCCACCTCGGGGCCATTTTATTATTTTTTTAGCCATTAGAAACTGTTTTCTCTAAATGAAATAAAGAAAGGAGGAGGAGATAACAAAACTCATTGCTTTTTCATATATATATATATACACACACACACACATACACGAAAGAAGGAAGAAAAATTTCACATTTAAAAAAAGTTAATAAATGGCCAGGCCCCAACAGATGGGTGTGTATGTGCGGAATTTGCATTTTTCAGATTAACATGCACGAGCGAAGATAGAAAACGCACTCGCCCCTGGGGAAATAATTTGAGAAATCTTTGCATATTTTATTTAAAAGCATGCCGCGTTAGGCAGGGTAATAATGCAGAGCACTGGTGATTAGGTTAGGCCTGGAGGGATCACAGCCTGGGACTCTCCCTCCCTCTCTCTCATCCCTCCTTCCAACCCCCACCCCCTCCTTCCTTGTTTGACTCCCCCAACCAGGCTGGCTGAAGAACTATTAGACATGGTATAGATATTCCCATGGTTTAACACACGTCCCTGCTAGTGAGTATGGCCATGGGCTCTACCTAAGCCCTCTTTCAACTCCTAATAGAGGATGTAGGTGGGGGAAATACAGGGTCCTTCTATATGGAGAAGACAACATTTGTCTCTTTGCAGAGAGGTCAATGCAAGGCACAGCTACTACTTTTACCCCACATCAGCCCAGATTTAAATAGTGCTTAAGTCTTAAAATGGGGCTTCAGATGAGCCTAGATTTCATGCTGACCTCTGCTCCATGGCTATTTCACCCTTGTGTGAATGTTACATTCAGTGCCCAACTCTAGCCCAAAATAAGTGACCTAGGAATCCCTTCCTGTGCTTTTAGCTCACCAGCATCACCAGTGGGGAGGCCAGCTGAAACCAACAGGACTGACCCCAAGCCCTTGAGAGTTCCCAAGAGCTCATCTCGGCCTCTCAGCAGTCTTCAGCAGGGAGGGGAGCCTGGCACTGCTCCTTGGGAGAAGCTGAACTGCACGTGCCATTCATAGATCGTGGGGCAGGAAGGGACCTTGGAAAATCATCAGGTCCAGCCCCCTGCACCAAGCAGGAAAGATAACTGAGGGTCAAGTGACCCCAGCAAGGTGACTGTCTAGTCTCCTCTTGAAGATCTCCAGGGTAGGCGACTGCACCACCTCTGCAGGGAGCTTATTCCACAGTCTGGACACCCTGACTGTGAAGAAGTTTTTCCTAATGTTGAGCCTGAAATGGTCTTCCAGGAGGTTGTGACCATTACTCCTGGTTTTCTCCTCGGGTGCCCTGGTGAACAGTTGCTCACCGAGCCCTTGATGTACTCCCCTGACATAGTGGTCAGCTACTACCAGCCTTCTTTCCCCCAGGCTGAAGAGTCCCCAGTCCCTCAGCCTTTCCTCATATGACTTGCTTTTTAAGACTCTGATCATATGGGTGGCTCTTCTTTGGACTCTCTCAAGCTTGTCCACCTCCTTGTTGAAGTGCGGCGCCCAGAACGGGATGCAGTCCTCCAGCTGGGGTCTCACCAGTGCTGAGTAGAGTGGAAGAATCACCTCCTTGGCTTTGCTGGAGATGCATCGGTTGATGCATGCCGGAGTATGGTTTGCCCTGCTGGCTACAGTGTCACACTGCCGGCTCATATTCATACTGTGGTCCATTATTACCCCCAGGTCCCTTTCAGTCTTATTGCTGGCCAGTTTGGCGCTGCCAAGCCTGTAGGCGTGTTGGGGGTTGCTCGTCCCAAGGTGGAGCACTTTACATTTCTCAGCGTTGAACTTCATCAGGTTCCAATCCACCCAACTCGCCAGCCTGTCTAGGTCTGTCTGCAACACTCTGTAGCCTATCTTCAAGCGTGACCACGCTCCCACATAACTTGGTGTTGTCCACAAACTTGGCCAGTGAGCTCTTCCCCCCCACAACCAAGCCTTTAATAAAGATGTTGAAAAGTACTGGACCAAGCACCAACCCCTGTGGGACACCACTGCCAGGTTGACACGGATCCGTTCACTACGACTCTCTGGGTCCTATCCTGTAGCCAGTTTCTCACCCACTTGGCTGTCTCGGAGTTAAGCCCTCAATCCTCCAGTTTTCTCATGAGGACATTGTGGGATACTAGATCAAAGGCCTTTTGGAAGTCAAGATATACAATGTCTCTCTCGTGTCCAGGTGGCAAGTTACCTGGTCATAGAAGGAGATGAGGTTGGTAAGGCAAGACCTGCCCGCGATGAAGCCATGCTGGCTGTCATTCAGGATCTTACCTTCTGCAAGCTTATTGCAGGTAGACTCCTTGATGAACTTTTCTAGCCTTTTCCCTAGGATGGAAGTTAGGCTGATTGTTCTATAGTTACCCAGGGCCTCCCTCCTACCCTTCTTGTGGATGGGCACAATGTTGGTCCTCTTCCAGTCCTCAGGGACTTCTCCAGAGTGCTGTGAGTTGTGGAAGAATTTCACCAGGGGCTTCACAATGACTTCGGCCAGCTCCTTCAGCACTCTCAGATGAAGATCATGTGGCCCTGCTGACTTGTATATGTCTAATTTTTTTAATTGGTCATACACGAATTCAATGGCAATAGTAGGAAGGCAATTATTCCTACCGTGCTCATCCTGTACTCTATCTGGCATGGTTGTCCCCTTGGTCTGGTGAAAGACCGAGGTGAAGTAGTCATTCAGGAGTTCAGCTTTCTCCTGGGTACCGGTAACCAGCTCTCCTGAGTTGCTGAGCAGTGGCCCCACACTCCCATTTGTTTTCCTCCTGTTCCCTATGTGCCTAAAGAAGGACTTCTTGTTGTCCTTGATTCCTGTTATGATGCAGGTGGCAAATTTATGTCCAAGTGGTTACTGCACAGTAATGCACATGTAGACGCTTTACTGTGCAGTAGCCCCGTGTGTGTGGACTGACTTGGGATTAATTTTAGTCCAAAGTCAGTCCACACACAGCATTACTACACTGTAATGCCTGCAAGTGTAGACACCAGTGTAAAACCCACTTATTGCGCAGTAAATTACTACACAGTAAATGCATATGTAGACATGCCAAGTCAGGCACATGAAGGTCAGAACAAACCACCTTAAGCATTCCTTAAGAAGAGGCTGGAGAGGTCAGAGTTTCAGCCTTTGGATGGAACATTTGTAGTAGACTGATCTTGATATAACAACCCCCAAAATGTCCCAGATAGTCATCATCACCAGTTACTGCTTTGGCCCTGTCTTCCTGCCCCTGTATTATCAGCAGTCATTACTCCTTTGGTAAGCA